GTGCGACTCTGATGCGGTGACAACTTTGCACAGAAAGTGGTGCAAATTCCACACCACATAAGTGTGAACCTGGCTCAGGGACTTTTTTGAACGCAAAACGTTGCGTTTTTGGTTCTATAGCCAGGGTTCACACTGATGTGATGCGGAATTCACAGCATTTTCAGTGTGAATTCTGCACCGCATCAGAATCGCACCCCATTCATGCTGCAGGTGTGTATGTTAAGTTAACGCCCCGAAAGAGGTTTGCAAAACGCTGTGCGATGTGCAGAATCGGATCGCATAGGTGTGAATACCCATGCGATCTGATTCTAGTACGGACCAAAATAGGGTCCTGCACGTTTTTGGTACGGGAGCGATGTGAATAAAGACATACATAATGTACGGCTCCAATCGCACCGCACACAATTCGCATGTGATTCGCACAGGAATGCGGCGCGGTTCCTATGCGAATCACATGCGATATACCGCACATCACATATGTGAACACAGCCATAGACTTCAATGGGAATGCTGCAGAAAAGCATGTATTGCATTTTTTTTCTGCGTTTTGCGCTTAAAATCTGCCTAGCAACAAGAAACTTTTTTTAAAAACCCGCAAAACGCATCAAAAACGCAATGCAGAAACGCATAGGTGTGAATCAAGGGTAAAAAAAAAAGTCCCCAACCCTTTCCAAAAACACAGCAGCTCAAAAAAACCATAGAGGTGAAAGCGTTCCTTAGGAAACCATGTTGCATGGACTGTAGGGGGTTTCTGCAAAAAGCAGTAACAAAAAAGCATCGGTGTGAACGGAGACTAAAAACTTACATAAGACGCTGGGACTGTGTGAACAGACAAGGACACAGCATAGAAGGGTGTACAAATAATCAGGAATTTGGAGAAGACTCCTGGACATACCCAGAGGCAAGAAGTACAAAATTCCAGCAGCGCAGGCTGTCCGGAGCGCTTCCCGACAATAGACATGGGGATCGTGCCTAGGCACAGGCAGCCATGGAGGAGGGACCACCCAGCTCTACTCACCCCTGAAGGACAGTCTGGTGACCGGGTCACAGTTCTTGTCCCCCTTGGTCAGGTAGGACAGGTTGTTGGCCCTCTGCAGCACACAGCGCAGCATGTCAGAAGGAGTCCCGCACCTCCTCACTCCGAGTCCCGCACCTCCTCACTCCGAGTCCCCGCACCTCCTCATTCAGCACTCTGGATGGGATGCTGAGCCAGAGAGGGGCGGGGCCCGACTCCACTTCTGACACCTCGCCCCGCCCCCTTCGCTCACGGCCACGCCCACCCGAGCTCCTCTCCCTGGGAATGTGTTCATGTCTTCATGTCTCAGCCTGTATCTGGGGAAGAGGAGGATTCCTGTAAATTCTGCACAGGGGGATGATGGTTTATTGTACTCATAGATACATATTATCAGTGTACCTCACTGGGGGGGGGGATGTCCTTTAATTCATTTATTTCAGGTACTTATATAGCACCATCAATTTACACAATTTATTTTGTTTTTGGTTTATTATTCATTGTTGAGTATCCGGAGGAAACCCACGCAGGCACAGGGAGAGCATGCAAACTCCAGACAGGTGGTGCCATGGTTGGGATATGAACCAATGACCCTAGTACTGCCAGGTGGAAGTGCTAACCATTTAGCCACTGAGCATATTATCACTGTACCTCATTGGAGGGGGGATATCCTTTAATTTACTTATATATTTATTTTAATTCAGCTCTCCTGCATTTCTTTCCTGTTTAGCTATAGTACACGGCTCAAAAAAATGAAAGGAACACTGTGAGAACACATCAGATCTCAATGGAGACAAATCTCCTGCTGGATCTCTATACTGACATGGACGGGGTAATGTGTTAGGAAGGTAAGGATGCCCCATTGTTTGATGGAAATGAAAATGATCGACCTACAGAGGACTGAATTCAAAGACACCACCCCGAAAATCAAAGTGAAAAAATGATGCAGCAGGTGAGTCCATTTTGCTGAAATGTCATTGCAGCAACTCAGAATGGTCCTCAGCAGGGGCAGACTGACAACTCATGGGGCAATATGGGATCATGGGGCCTCTGTGTCCTTGCCCAAACTCAAAAAAGCCTATGAAAAAGGTACCAGGGGCATCTCATGGGGCCCCCTACCGACCCCGGGCCCTCGGGCAGTGCTCGAATTTCCAAATGGTCAGTCCGCCCCTGGTCCTCAGTAGTTTGTATGGCCCCATGTGCTTGTAGGCATGCCTGACAATCTTCATTGTGCACTCCCACTCCCTTCATCCCTTCCTTGGGTCCCCAACTCCATACATCCCCCCAATTTTGCACTCTCGGTCCCTCCACCCCTTTATTGGGCACCTTAATTCTGTATAACCCCTCTTCTTCTCCAAGCTCACTGGTATTTGGAGGAGTTCCCATACATGGCAGTTGGCAGTGGTCCTGGGAAGGAGGGAGGAGAGGAAAGGAAGGAGAAGAGAGATCAGAGCCATCCTCAACTGACCAGAGCAGTTCACTGCCACACACTCATTGGGAGCAGACTGATCGATCTCCTCAACTCCGCCAACTCTGACCTAGAACCACCCAACCGGACCTGTCCCTACAGCCTAAGAGGGAGAGTGCGCCACTGTCAGGAATAGGAGTGTGCACAGACCAATCTTCTTTTTAACCCAAATACTGACTAATTTTGCACCCACGTCATCCGTCAAAGAAGCTCTGCCCAGAGCCAGTGGAACCAGCAGCCTCTCATATAGGAGAAGACCAGGCGCTGGAAAAGTTAACAAGAAAATGTGACACCTGTACCCCATGTTCCTAAATTGGAACAAGAGGTAGAACTCCTATGCAGCATTGGTGGAGTATGAGGAAGGTGAGGATCACTTGAGTTGAGTACAAACAGTACCTCCTACTTAATCTGGACCAGGGGCGGACTGACAACTCATGGGGCCTCCAGGCAATAAGGGATCATGGGGCCCATGTGTCTTCGCCCCACACCCAAAAAAGCCTATGAAAAAGACAATGAAAGGTACCAGGGGCATCTCATGGGGCCCCCAGGCAATAGGGGATCATGGGGCCCCTGTGTCCTCACCCACTCAAACCACGCCCCAAAAAAGCCTCTGAAATGTACCAGGGGCATCTCATGGGGCCCCCTACTGACCCCGGGCCCTCGGGCAATGCCCGAGTGCTCAAATGGTCAGTCCGCCCCTGATCTGGATGTATATTTTTTGTCCAGGTGTTGATGGCTTCACTAGCAGACTGGAGGTCAGTCGTCACCAAGTGAGGAAAAAGAGAGTCCTACTGTATGTCTCCAACCATAGAAGCAGGGGTTTATGTACCACAAGGCAAACATGGTACTTGCCTAGGGTGGCATTTTTCAGAGAGGCAGCACCTTCCCCCAGAAGAAGGGATGAAAGAAGGGACATGTGCACCATGGGAACTAGGTGGGATCCGAGAGAGGCTGTGGGCTGCTTGATGGTGTATTTAGAGCCTGACTCTTGTCCCCAGGGATGTCCGGAGCTGTGAAGATGAGTGGGGGGTAGTCAAAGGCTCTCCCGGTGGGGGGCAGGGGTGTTGTTGGTCAATGTCAGGCTCTCTCCATGGGAGGTGGAAGGAGGGGGTGGTGTTGGTCGGTGTCCGTGGGGGCAGTCAATTTTTGTGTTGCCTAGAGCAGCACAAAACCTTAATACATCACTGCATAGAAGTCTACCAGTAATGGGTCCAATCATCCCCTTTATCCATTCATTTTGCTTGGGTGATCTGATCCTGCCAAGAAAATGGCAAAACCAAATTTGTCGGAGTGAATCCTGATGGAATCACTCATCAATAAATGAAGCCTCCAGGTACAGGAAATATTGCGTCACAACCAGGGGCGGACTAACCATTTGGAAACTCGGGCACTGCCCGAAGGCCCGGGGTCAGTGGGGGGCCCCATGAGATGCCCCTGGTACCTTTTTCATAGGCTTTTTTGAGTTTGGGCAAGGACACTGGGGCCCCATGATCCCCTATTGCCCGGGGGCCCCATGAGTTGTCAGTTCGCCCCTGGTCACAACCATAAGTCCAATCATATTGCACATGGCAATGTTTTCCGATGGAAGGATAACCGTAACCAGTGCAGCAGAGACATCCAGAGAGATTCCAGGTCTAATAATGTTTCTGGCAATCCTGGTTTGTTGCGTAGATCGACCTACTACAAAATTCACACAAATTCTCTGAGACCAATGAGTCAATGACCGGAAATTACAAAGACATTCATGTTTCTGTGGATTGACTCTAAAGAGTTCCATTGGCTCTACAGATCGGTAGTGTATGAAGGCATTCTTACTTCTGTCTCCACACTCAGTTATACACAGGAACTCAAGCAAGATCAGATCTGTCCATTCCTCCTCCAGGGCAAGTTTTATATCTCATTAGGAAGCTTGCATTGCAAATCCTATGCCAAGGTGTGAGGGTTCCTACCCAGTAAAATTGGAGAGAGTCTCACTTTCCTGCCTTACCTGGAGCTACCTACATAAAATGATCCGTTTACACGAATACTTTGCTGATGAGGTGAGGTGCTTCAAGAAGAAAGGGCCGGTTCACATAATAGAAACACAGCCCAGATGCGTTCCAGATGAGTTTCTGCATGCACGTTTTTGAGGTGTTTCGGTGCGTTTTTGACGTTTCGGTGTGTTTTTTTCCTCTCTTGTTTTCTTCAGTTCAAATAGGGACATGTACAGTATGTTCCACTGCATTTGTGGTGTGTTGCGGTGTGTTTTTGAAACGTTTTTTACCGCGTTCCAGTACAGTTCTGTGCAGGAAAAATGCAGCTTGTTCTGCTTTTTTTTTCTGCAACCCTAATGCACTGGAACTGCAAGCACTGATGTGAACTATAACATTGGCAACCATATGACCTATTTTATGTGTGTTTTGGATGCAGAAAAAAAGCAACTGAAATATACATCTTCACGAAAAAAAAAAAAAATATATATTGTTTTCTTTATGATATATGGGGGGGGGGGGGGGGGTGAGCTTTCTACAGGTGTTACTGCACCCAGGACCCTGCATTCACTATATCTGGTCTCCCCAGACCCTGCATTCACTATATCTGGTCTCCCCGGACCCTGCATTCACTATATCCGCTCTCCCCGGACCCTGCATTCACTATATCTGGTCTCCCCGGACCCTGCATTCACTATATCCGCTCTCCCCACACCCTGCATTCACTATATCCGGTCTCCCCGGACCCTGCATTCACTATATCCGGTCTCCCCGGACCCTGCATTCACTATATCCAGTCTTCCCGGACCCTGCATTCACTATATCCGCTATCCCCGGACCCTGCATTCACTATATCTGGTCTCCCTGGACCCTGCATTCACTGTATCTGGTCTCCCTGGACCCTGCATTCACTATATCCGGTCTTCCTGGACCCTGCATTCACTATATCTGGTCTCCCTGGACCCTGCATTCACTATATCTGGTCTCCCCCTCCCCCGGACCCTGCATTCACTATATCCGGTCTCCCCGGAACCTGCATTCACTATATCCGGTCTCCCCAGACCCTGCATTCACTATATCAGGTCTCCCCGGACCCTGCATTCACTATATCTGCTCTTCCCGGACCCTGCATTCACTATATCTGGTCTCCCCGGACCCTGCATTCACTGTATCCGGTCTTCCCGGACCCTGCATTCACTATATCCGCTATTCCCGGACCCTGCATTCACTATATCTGGTCTCCCTGGACCCTGCATTCACTGTATCCGGTCTTCCCGGACCCTGCATTCACTATATCCGGTCTTCCTGGACCCTGCATTCACTATATCCGGTCTCCCTGGACCCTGCATTCACTATATCTGGTCTCCCCGGACCCTGCATTCACTATATCCGGTCTCCCCGGACCCTGCATTCACTATATCCGGTCTCCCGGACCCTGCATTCACTATATCTGGTCTCCCCGGACCCTGCATTCACTATATCTGGTCTCCCCAGACCCTACATTCACTATATCTGGTCTCTCCCCAGACCCTGCATTCACTATATCTGGTCTCCCCAGACCCTGCATTCACTATATCCAGTTTCCCCAGACCCTGCATTCACTATATCTGGTCTCCCCGGACCCTGCATTCACTATATCTGGTCTCCCCAGACCCTACATTCACTATATCTGGTCTCCCCAGACCCTGCATTCACTATATCTGGTCTCCCCAGACCCTACATTCACTATATCTGGTCTCCCCGGACCCTGCATTCACTATATCCAGTCTCCCCAGACCCTGCATTCACTATATCTGGTCTCCCCGGACCCTGCATTCACTATATCCGGTCTCCCCGGACCCTGCATTCACTATATCTGGTCTCCCCAGACCCTGCATTCACTATATCCAGTCTCCCCGGACCCTGCATTCACTATATCTGGTCTTCCTGGACCCTGCATTCACTATATCCGGTCTGCCTGGACCCTGCATTCATTATATCCGGTCTCCCCGGAACTGCATTCACTATATCTAGTCTCCTACAGTACACAGAACATGGAAATTCAAATATTTTAGTAAATATAAACTGCTAAATACCTTTTCTCATCAGCAGTTAGAGCAGTCTTGTGACTACTATCAGTGTCCAGCCGAACACTTGTTAAAGCATGTAGGAGGAGTTTTTATTCTGTTCTAGGAGGATGCAGAACCCCTGACCCTCTATCTGGCCAGTGCTGATCACATGCACTCTCCCAAGATAAAAAAAAAAAAAACTCTCTAGCAATACACACCAAACTGAGCATGTGCAGAGTAACTTCATACAATATGTTTTATCAGGGGATAAGAGGGGGACACTGGAAGAAGGGGAGGATCAGAGAAGACAGGATCAAACAGCCTTTTTACACAATGCAGGGGATTAACCCCTTAGGTTCCACAGTGATATAACAAGCATGCTTTACTGGATATACAGACTGATTGTACTGTTGATTTTACGTCTGGTCCTGACTTACAGGGTACCTCTAATGAGTTCCCACAAATAAACAGACAGCACTTATACCTTTTTAGTGTTCTGCCTGCACTCAGCCTTTTCACCAAGCAGAAGGGAGAGAGAGAGAGACCTGAGCATTAAGCTGGCCATACATGGGTTGAATTCCGAAAATCTTTACTGATCATTTTCGTTCAAATTTCGCATCGTTAGTGGGCCACAACAACAACCGATTTTCGAGTGACCATCGAATTTGAGCGATTGAACATGTTGGAAATTTTTTTGAAAAACAAATGAATTCCTAATCAGTGATGGAAGAATAGTGCGAGAAATATAATTGAAAAAGAAATGAGCTGTGACCTGGAAAGAAAAGAAAATTCTTGGCCACGAAAACAATTTTCTGTAGCCACATGAGGAGAAATTGAAGACTTGGTTGGTTGAATATCGAAATCAATGGAGGCGCCATCTGGGTACAAACCGCACAAAATGTCCGATTTTTTTCAAGAAAATGCGTTTAGAATTTCGACCCATGTATGGCCTGCATACGTCAGCTCACAAATATGAAGGCCTGTGCACAGCTGAGAATAATAATGAGGTCTGGCTACCAGGTAAGATGTGGACCTGGGACTGGAGACTGTCTCTGGGACTGGGGACTGGCTCTGGGACTGGAGACTGGCTCTGGGACCCGGGACTGGAGACTGGCTCTGGGACCCGGGACTGGAGACTGGCTCTGGGACCCGGGACTGGAGACTGGCTCTGGGACTGGAGACTGGCTCTGGGACTGGAGACTGGCTCTGGGACCCGGGACTGGAGACTGGCTCTGGGACCCGGGACTGGAGACTGGCTCTGGGACCCGGGACTGGAGACTGGCTCTGGGACCCGGGACTGGAGACTGGCTCTGGGACCCGGGACTGGAGACTGGCTCTGGGACCCGGGACTGGAGACTGGCTCCGGGACCCGGGACTGGAGACTGGCTCCGAGACCCGGGACTGGAGACTGGCTCCGGGACCCAGCACAAGATGTATTAAGATTTTGAGAAAACAAAAGCCTGTTTTCTCCACATCAGTCACAAACCCTAAAGCCTCTCACCATGTGAAGGTGAGCAACGCAAGAAACATATACTGGTGTGCCTCGGTCTACGAACGCCTCGGTTAATGTAATTTTCGGTTTTCAAATGAAAATCCATTGAAAAAATAATGCCTCGGTTTATGATTTTTTTATTCAGAATATGAACGGATTAATTGGTTTTCAATGCATTTACAATTTTTTTTTTAACCATTTCCATACCGGGCACTTTTACCCCCTTCCTGCCCAGGCCAGTTTTCAGGTTTCAGCGCTCTTACACTTTGAATGACAATTGCGCGGTCATACAACATTGTACCGAAACTAAAATTTTATCATTTTCTTCACACAACTAGAGCTTTCTTTTGGTGGTATTTAATCACTGCTGGGATTTTTATTTTTTGCTAAATTAACAAAAAAAACCAAAAATTTTGAAAAAAAAAGTTTTTCTTTGTTTCTGTTATAAAAGTTTGCAAATAAATAATTGTTCTTCATAAATTTAGGCCGAGATGTATTCTGCTACATGTCTTTGGTGAAAATAACCCAAATTAGGATGTATTATTTAGTTTGTAGGAAAGTTATAGAGTTCACAAACTATGGTATAGATCTGAATATTGATCAATCCTGAAGTACTGACGGCCAATCTAATTTCTTGAGGTCCAAGAATGTCAGAACAGTACAGATATCCCCCAAATGTCAGAACAGTACAGATATCCCCCAAATGTCAGAACAGTACAGATATCCCCCAAATGTCAGGACAGTACAGATATCCCCCAAATGTCAGGACAGTACAGATATCCCCCAAATGTCAGGACAGTACAGATATCCCCCAAATGTCAGGACAGTACAGATATTCCCCCAAATGTCAGGACAGTACAGATATGCCCCAAATGTCAGAATAGTACAGATATCCCCCCAAATGTCAGAACAGTACAGATATCCCCCAAATGACCCCTTTTTGCAGAGTAGACAGTCCGACGTACTTCATAAGAGGCATGGCGAGTTTTTTGAAGTTTGTATTTTTTTTGTCATAGTTTTTCGGAAAATTAAAAAATTAAAAAAAATTTGTTTCACTATTTTTTTTTTTTACATACTGTCACCAGTGCAGTACAGCGTCATCATATAACTGGCATGGCGGTGATCAGGGACACTGACTGGTGACAGTATGAAAAAAAAAAATGTTTTTTTTTTTTTTTTTTTTTCTTTTTTTTTCTTATTTTTTCTTATTTTTTTTTTTTTTTTTTTAAGATTTTATTTTCATATTTCACTATGACCAAAGTAGTACAATGTTACCATAGTAACATTGTACTACTTTGGGGAAGTGATCAGTATTTTTTTTTTTTACACAATTTGCTTATAGCAAAGAATTACTTATAAGCAAGCATTTACCTGAATGACATCGATTCATTCAGGGGTTTTTGTTTTGTTTTGTTTTTTTTGTGCTTAGCTGTGATTTGGCCACAGCTAATCACATGACATGTGCATGTGATCGCTGTAACCATTCACAGCTAGGCACTAGTATACAATGGATGGCATGAATGAAGCCATCCATTGTATACAACTGTCATGTGACCTGCTGTGATTGGTCACAACAGGTCACATGGTACCGGCAAGGGGGGCCGATACTCAGATCTGTCATCGGCCGTGTCCGAGGTACAGGGCCAGTGACAGATCGCGCCGCTGCGCCGCTCTGCAGGAGCGCAATCTGCGCATGTGCGGGAGGACGCCATATGGCGTCCACCCGGAATGCTGATGACATTTGCCGCCCGCCATTCAGCCATAGGGCGGGCGGCAAATGGTTAATCATGTCCTTCTACAGTATTTATGCCTTTAACCGCCTCCCACCCGCCATATAAGGTAATGACGGGCACAAGGCAGTTCTCTCGTTCTGGGAGGACGTCATATGACGTCGTCCCATTCTGGCTCCGGGGGCGTGCAGCGCAGCGATCGGTGGTGCGCTGTGTCCCTTGGACACAGCGGATCACTGATCAACGGAAAGAGCCAAAGATGTCGGCTCTGTCATGTGATCAGCTGTGTCCAATCACAGCTGACCGCATGTAAATAGGGCATTTCTCTCCTCACGAGCTGTCACGCTGACAGCTCAAGAGGAGAGGAGAGCCGGTAATTGGCATTCCTCAGAGGGGACATGTACACTGATCATCAGAGCACTGATGATCAGTGTGCCCTGATGATCTGTGTAGCCCCAGCAGTGCCACCTGTCAGTGCTCATCAGTGCCAGCTGTCAGTGCCCATCAG